CTAATGCCATACTCGAATCTCTTCAAAGATTTTTCAATACTACACCTCATATTCTCCTAAACTGGAAGAAAATTTAAATGTCATTGGCCAAATTTCATCGAATTTCCCAAAATTATCGTCTTTGAATCCTTAATATACTCCTCTTTGCAAAGAATCTGTGAAGGTATTTTGCCAAGCATCGTGTCCGGTACGTAGTCTAAACTCACCAACGGCTTCGATTCTTGGCCAGTCGGAGTATACACTCAACCCACATGCCCCCATGTAACCTACAGGAGGAAATGGAGAAGACCCACCTGATTCGATGTCCAGACCTAAAGATAACGACGGAAAGGCAGAGATACTGGGAAGCAAGAAGACAGCTAATGAATTGCTATTAATTAACTCCTATATATGTACCCCCACCCATGGTAAAAGCTGAAGTCAAAGTTTAAGAGCTAATGATAAATATCATATAAAGCCTGATTTGAGTTAATGATAAATATCATAAAGCCTGCCATTTGAAATAAAATAATCTTTGCAAAGAATAACCAAAACAGATTGCATTACTGTAATACATGAATGCATGTTGCCTCCGAATCAGCTATTTACTTGAGTAACCCTGTGTTTTTTGAGACAACAGGAAAAGTCGGAATTTGTGCAGAATTTTGGGAATTAAGTGCATCATTCAGATTATGAGCACCTTGAAAGTATGGAAAAACAAAATATCACTACAAAGTTAAAAAGAAAGCTCATTCATCAAATATATTCAATGGATCTCGATGTGGAACAATAAATGAAAACAGTAAAATGAACTTAAAATTGGTTAATTAATAATTAGAATATGTTTATTCCTCTGATTTGTTTCTTCAGTAACAAAGTTTGGAATTATAAATTCTCAAAAGATTTCAAACTTGATAATAATTTAATATGATACTCATGAAGACAATTCCATAAGTGAGTTCTCGAACCCCTCAGATGCCTTTAGAATAAACTAGCATTGAGCAATCATTCATTTTTGGTACACTATGATTTTTGAGTCGAAATGCTTGCAAATCTTTTTCAATCGGGAAGATGTTAACAGCAGTTTTATTGATTTGAATAGTTGTCGTCCTCATTCATATCACTGAATTCACATCCACTTACACTAGCCTCTAACTTTCCAAAACTGGGTATGGTGGCTACAATGCAACTAACACGCGGTCGAGTGGAGAATTTCACTCGAGTTTATTTGTGAATGTTTTCCGACACCAGCTCCGTGGATAGGGGTCGTATCATGTGTCCCACCAAGTACAAAAGTGAGATTCGGTCGTCCTCACCATTGAAAAGATTTTGCCAGCGTGCTTGACCATTCTGTTCATTGGCTCGGACTTGATGAAGATCAAACCAGCGTCTTTTGCCTTCATCAATGAGTGGCTTATGAGCTGCATTCGAGGATGTTGATCTTAAGATCACTGACATGACAGACATTTTGTATTATAAAGTATTAATTATCTAATTGTGAATATACCATAATATACCATAAGAAATATTTGTTGTTTTCTTTGACAATACTATTAAAAGAGGCATAAATGAAGTTTCATGGAGCACAAATGGGCATATGGCTGGTCGATATGAAAATGGTCGGTGTTAGCTACGTCAATAATTTGACTTGGAAGAGTAATTTGCCATCACCAATTTACTGTTCACGATTTTTCACTCCTTTCAGAAACCGTTCTAGTGTGCATTACAACCATGCTCGCAACTATGGGGTGCATGATCGACTTACCTCCACGTGGTGCACCCTGGGAAACGTATGCCCATACGGCAAAAAAGTCTATTAACTGGCAGTTGACTTCTGACTTCAAACTACCATGACTAGATTCCATGACATATTCCACCACTTCAACAGTATTCTTCTTACCTTTTCTCTGACTTTGTGTCTGCCTGTCTCTTTTACATCTTTGAAACACTCTTCTCTTCCCTCCCCCCTCTCAACATTTTGCCACTTTGATGTTCCTCCTCCTCTCTGTGAAGCTCGAAGTCACCTAAAGGGGTAATGATAACTATCAAAACGCCTGCCATTTGGTATAAATAAATAAATTTCATATACTGGTTCCCAAAACTAAAATCAGTTTATAATTTATTTATTTATTTTTTCTGTAANGACTTACCGCCACGTGGTGCACCCTGGGCAACGTATACTCATACGGCAAAAAAGTCTATAAACCGGCAGTTGACTCCTCACTTCAAACTACCATGGCCCGACTGCTTGTCATATTCGACCCCTTCACAGTACTCATCTTACCGGTTTCCCTCCCTTTGTGTCTGTCTGCCTCTTTTACATCTGGGAATCGCTCTTCTGATCCTCACCCCTCGACCTTCTGCTACTTTTTGATGGACCTTCCTTCTGTGAAGCCCGAAGTCAACTAAATGGCTAATGATAGCTATCATAACGCCTGCCATTTGAAATAAATATAATAATTATTAGAATTCAGGCTTAAACATCAGGTAGCTGAATGAACACGCAAAAGACGATGCTCTAATGCTCGCAGATCCGGTATGTAAAGCACTTCAAAGCGAAGCGTATCTCAGAAAGTGGAAGGATGCTCTGGAGAAGCATCCTTAAACATTTCCTCAATTTATACTTACTATTGATTGAACAGTTTGATCTTTAGGTATTCAACTACTCTTCTTCGATTTCATGATCTCGAAAATTGACTTTCTTGCAGACCATGACATAGTTTGTTTAAATAAAAACTCCGGTTGTAAATATTTGACGAAATTCAACTTTTTCTATGACTACGAATTCCATTTGTGATTTCAGCAGACTCTAGAATTTACTTTAAACTCTCTGGAAAGAAGCGGAGGGCGATTTGGAGGCGAAAAAGTCTGAATTCAGAATCAGACATCTAACACATCTACATCATCATCTCAAGTATGGCTTTTCTAATCCACCATTAACGTCAGTGATCTTTTAATTGCTTACGATCACAAATATCAACTGCCACGTAGATGAAATTGCATAAGGAGAAAACGCCTGGAGACATTTCAACTCCCCCACCTCCCATCCGTTAATTGTGAAACTAGGGTGTGGTGAAAATTCAGTTAAAAATAAGTATAAAGACAAAATAATTGATCGAAGACAAGGTTATGCTTGGAATATGTGAATCTGAAAATATGATGCATTTTGAGAGGATAATATGTAAAAAGTGGGGTGTGCGATAGATTTACCTCCACGTGGTGCACCCTGGGCAACGTATACTCAAACGTAAAAAAGTCTATAAACCGGCAGTTGACTTCTGACTTCAAACTACCATGACCCCACTGTATGTTATATTCAACCCCTTACACAGTACTCATCCTACCTTTTCTCTGCCTTTTTGTCTGTCTGTCAGTCTCTCTTACAACTGTGAATCACTCTTCTGTCTCTCCTTTCGAATTTTTCCCACTTTGATGTTCCTCCTCCCCTCTGTGAAGCCCGAAGTCAGCTAAAGGGCTAATGCTAATCATTAAAATGCCTGCCATTTGAAATAAATAAATATTTTAAAAATCGCAGTGTGCCTTTTTTAACTTTATAAAATATTTACACTTTTTCAAATATTTAAATTATCTTTAATGCACTGTCGCTCTTTACATTTCTTCTGTGCTTTTGAATTAGATGGTAGAAGTTATTAATAACTGTGATGTGGATTGTAAAATTTCTCAAAATAAAATGAATTATCGACAAAATCTGCAAAATTAATGGATGATAAACATCACAAAATGCCTCAATTAACTTTGTTCCTAACATGTGTTATCTGTTATCGTGATTTGGTTATCAGTTTCATGATGGCTTGTTGCTTTTTGTCACTTCTCGATGAAAAGAAGCTCTCATACACTTCGTCTNCATATTCCACCACTTCAACAGTATTCTTCTTACCTTTTCTCTGACTTTGTGTCTGCCTGTCTCTTTTACATCTTTGAAACACTCTTCTCTTCCCTCCCCCCTCTCAACATTTTGCCACTTTGATGTTCCTCCTCCTCTCTGTGAAGCTCGAAGTCACCTAAAGGGGTAATGATAACTATCAAAACGCCTGCCATTTGGTATAAATAAATAAATTTCATATACTGGTTCCCAAAACTAAAATCAGNGTCAGTCTCTCTTACAACTGTGAATCACTCTTCTGTCTCTCCTTTCGAATTTTTCCCACTTTGATGTTCCTCCTCCTCTCTGTGAAGCTCGAAGTCACCTAAAGGGGTAATGATAACTATCAAAACGCCTGCCATTTGGTATAAATAAATAAATTTCATATACTGGTTCCCAAAACTAAAATCAGTTTATAATTTATTTATTTATTTTTTCTGTAAAGTATTTGTCTGAGCTCAAAGATTGGTAGGAGTTTACTTCAGATCCAAAAATATAATGTTAAAAATACGTGTTAAGAAAATTTACTTTAATGAATTTCGTTTTGAAAAATAAAGCTTCAGGGTTTTAGTGAACAAATTATAACGACTTTAAACCAGGATCAGATTATAGAGCTTATAGCGAATTGGTACTCCACTAAACCTTAACTTATGCTCAGTAATCTACGTGGCAGGATCTCCTGGTCTGAAATGGCTCCCGGTATTAGCCACTCGACTCTATAAAGAAAACAGATCTATGTTGAGGAACCCGTTCCTATTGACTGTGTGTATGTTTGGTTGTGTGCGTGTGATGACATAGAGCAAAATCATTAAATACCGTTTGGGTACAAAATCACTGTAATGACTATTGATTATTGATTGGTTGAGAGGTTTCTACACTCACGTCCTCGTTTGCTCCCTTGTGTGATTGACATCATGTCTACAGCATTCCAGAATGTCTGTTCGCTTAAGCTCTTCTTTTCTTAAGCCAAGCCAGCGTTGTGTTCTCCACAAGGCAAGTTTATAGATAACGTTTCTAGTTAAATAATGGTTTTCTCTTTTGCTACTAGGTGTTGCATCCCACTGTTTCCGCATAATGTCCATAAGATCCAGCCCTGATATAGCTTTTCATAATTAGAACAGAAAGTAGAACATAAAGCAGCTTCTCTTGAAAATAGCTTCATATAAACAATCAGGGACTAAGTCCTCTTGTTCAAATCACAGCAAATCTTTGTTTACAAATGCCTGCTCAGCGCATTTGCTACGGGTTCGCTCATGATTAATCAGACCGTTCACCTATCACACAGCACTCGAATCAAGGGACAAATCATCCCCGGAGGCACGAATTCCAGAGTGCCTTTGGTGATAGTTGTATGGTAGAGTGTGACAAGAAGTCGATGCGGCGGTTGGAAGTGTTGGGGAACTACCACACCTTTGATAGTTATGATTTTGATGATGGTGCAATGGGGACACTAGAAGTGCTGAGGGAGCATGCCGGAAGGTTATAGGCGCACTTGCAGTGGTGACAATAGGGATTCTAGTTGGACAATGGGCATTTAAAGAGGGTAGTAACAGCGTCCGTCTGGTAAAAATAGCAAGGAGAAGAATGGCCATAATGAGGAGGAGGATGAGGAAAAATGCGCAGAGGATGATAAAAATAATGCTAAATCTCCAGGCATTGCGATCGGGAGATTGTGACGATTCTGTCCTTCCGGGCGCGTAGTCATCAAACAAGTCACTGGGATAGGGTTCATTGTTTTGAAGCTGCTGTTGTTCTAGCAGTAATTGCTCTTGAAGTGATGGGAAAGATTTGCCAACTGTTTCGTCGGATCTCAATTGAAAACGAACTCTCAAACTTGCATAAGAATTCAATGGTGGCGTGCCCATATCAGTAACCTACAAAAATTAATGCACACAGAAAATTTATTATATGGACTAAAATTTTTGTTTTAATAAGTTAGATGGTTGCACCATATGTACTCTGTACATTTTTTAAACAAAAATACGATTTAGAGGTAGATTTCCATTTTATAACCAAATAATTGAGTTAATTTTTAATAAAAATATATTGAGTATTATTTAAATGTGATTCCTCAAATCGCTTGGGACTCCTTTATAAAGCCTGTTGTCGTGGGTTTTGTATGACGTTATTGATGGTCATTACCTTGTTCTGAGCTTACATATCGACCAAATTTCACCTTCTTTATCTTCGCCCGGTAGAATCTGCTTTTGGAATTCAATGGTTCATCAAGTACTCGGTACTTTTTTGAACAGTAAAACCTCTCATGATATTCAAATAGAGTAGTTTTCCAGTCACCCTACACTAGAAGTAGTGTGTCAGGCATTAATGGCCACGACCCTTGACAACGTGAAAAATTAGTTCAATAACCAAAATTCTGCTGTAATTTCATACTGCCATCGAGGTTCCACTGGTAAACCTGCTGTCGGGAGTTTCGCATTTTGTAATCGGAGATTATTGTATAGAACATATTGTGCAGCGATCGATAAACATCTTTTGCACTTGTACATTCAAATATCTGATGCTCCTTAGACATAATAGTATTCCGGCGTCACATTAAGTTTTAAGTCACGTGATGCGTATCATAGTAACAATTCACTTCGTCTTATCCTCTCCTTAGTCTGCTATTTCACCACCCTTTAAACCACCGGAAAACTATCTACTTTATCGACCAACCATTAGGCCAAGTAGAACTGTGGGGGTCTATAAAAGAAGGGAAATGATACAAGTAGTTAGTGAGGCAAGGAAGGGCCACCAAGAAGAATGTATATTAACGAAGTGATTTCTCTGAAAGTGCGCAATCAAGCAATAAGTTAAACATACTGGTATTTTCATTCATTGAATAGAGAAGTCTGATTACTTAAAACTGCAATTAAGGAATATAAAAGTCTTACCATTATATTTTGTTCTTAAACGTAACGATTATTGCTTTCCACCTCTGAGAGAACCTTTTACAATGCGTAGACAGGCCGATGTCTTTCCACACAATGAAGGCCTTAATCAGGAGAGAATTCAAGACCTCAAGGTGTAACAAACTTAAAGCTCGAACAAATGAGAAACAGTGGACAGTGGCACTCTCCGACATAGCCAACTGGCCAAGAATCGAAGCCTTTGCTGAGTTTAGACTACGTACCGGACACAATTGCCTGGCAAAACACTTTCACAGATTGGGAGTATACACTCAATCCACATGCCCCTATGTAACCTACAGGAGGAAATGGAGAAGACCCACCTGACTCGGTGTCCAGCCCTTAAGACAACGACGGAAATCCAGAGATACTGGGAAGCAAGAAGACAGCTAATGAACTGCTGTTAATT